TATAGCCAACCCATAAGCAACTGATCTGTTGACATCCATTGGCTATATTCTGGGTTTTTTATCATCTCAATGATTGCACCTACTTCACCATTTACCTGACTTCCAATAAATTCCCGAGGACACAACTTTGTCCTTAGACTGTAACCCTTAAGGTTGTGACCTCGTATGATTGGTAAAATCATGTTTTTCCACAGCAAGAAATTGTTCTTGTCCAACTTGACAGAAACAATTTGAGTGAAATTCACACCAAAAGGCGAGGTGCTGTTGCTTCCCAATTGTGGAGTGGCAGTGGTACTGGACATTGAAGCAGGTGCAGGAATAGGATTGGCAATCTGAGGAGTGTTACTGACATTTACCATTGCTGAGGCTTTGATACCAAGTAAAGGTTTAAAGTAAAGATGAAATTTACAATTTGCCTCAATAATTAATTGATCAAAAATGTGAAGGTCATAAACACAACTAAGATGTGTGAAGAATGATCTAGAATGAATAGCTGTTGGTTGGTTCCTAAAATGGTAGATCTTGTCTAGAATCTTTTACAACAGATTGAGTGCTAGCATTATAGTTGTAACCGTATCAGTGCAGCAAAAGGATGAGTTACTGATGCAATGCTCCAAGTGCTGATGAGTTGGCTGCTTCTCAGCTGATGTGGTGATGGAAGTGCAAGGTGGCTAGGTAGTTAATTCAATTAACATACGATAAATTTTATAGAATTTTATCTTGTTGTCTTCAGGGGATGGATGTACTTCACCTGCAACATGCATAGGGGTTGAAGAGATAACGTGCACTTTGCTTTTAGGTTCATCGAAGCGCAAATATTGCCATTCAATAATATGTCGAAGTTGTCCACTTAAAAGCTCGGCCTTGCCCTATTTTCTTTCTGTTTTCAGTGGTATCCATCATCTTGATTTCGGTCTATATTAGGCTTACCAGTTGAAGATATCAAGTTGAATTTTTTTACAGACATCTCGCTAAAAGGGAGTTTCTATTAACGAATCATTCCACAAGGCGTACCTAGCTTTCTTGTTTGAAATGGTCATGCAAACAATTATCTCATGAATAGTACAAAATAGCTTTTAAGGGATTTACCTTCCTCCTGCCTCTTGTCGTTCAACCCTGTAGCTGGTGCCTATCCCATTCTAGTTCACTCTAAAATCCCCATAAATGCCTACTTCAACTAGGGCCAACTTTTAATTGAGCCTAACAGAAATTTGTTGTACCATCGCTTAGCGGGTCTATCCAACGTCAGATGGAAACCTTGATATTTAAGTCTAGGGTTCACATTTTTCCGCCTCATCTTAATCATGTATTCATAGAGGTGGTACATTTGATCACTGTTAACACTGTAGTTCTACGCCACAGGGCGAATAAATTATAAAGAGGAGTGTTATAGGAAGAATTGATCAAGCTTTCTGCTCTCCAACCCTCTTGACCATATCGTTGGCCATACTTCCTATCATGAGAATTCTTCTCATCTGCAAACCTTTCCAAGGCAGGTTTGTTCACTCATTGCTCCTTTCATTTTCCTTTGTAGCACGTTGGAGTAGGTTTTCGACATCTGTATATTGCTGCTGCTTTCACTGGAGAAGCTGGTGATTGGTTGCACTTCATTTTCTCTAAATTCACCTAGCAAACTTGCCTTAGGTTTTCAAACTTTACCTATAGGGAAGCGTTCTTTGTCATTAATTCTTCGAGGCCTTCTGCGTTTTTCTATAGAATTTTCACCGTGGACATTTTCTTCTGTAAGCGACCACACTGGGCAGGGAAAATGCTCTAAAACCTAGCCGGCGTTTTCTCCTATTGCTACTTGGGTTGGAATCATTATTTACCGATTCCTCACTATACTTTTCTACTTTAACTTCCAGCACTCTAACAACTTCTGGATTTACTTCTGTTTGTCTCATTTTTTGTAAATTTCAAAGGTTTTTCAAGCTAGATAGATGAATTCACGGTTTTCTTTATTTAAGTTTCCCACACACTGGGCCAATTTATTGATGATAGAATTATGATCAACAAATTTCTCTCACTTAGTCAGGGGTTTCTCCTCCTAAACTCACTGGTGTTGATTCTTAAACTGAAGCAAGAGGTGAAATTGCTATTTGAGAGGAAGATATTTAAATTTGCATGCATTTCTCATCTTAGACGAGAGTATTTATAGATTTCCTTAGAGGTTTTAGGTCATTCTAGAAGATGGCATGTGGCTATCATTTAGTAAAGGGCTGATAACTAATTCTTATTATGTATTCACATCTTACTTGACTGTTTAGAAGTCATGCTTTTTAGATTTGTCCACCTATATTAAAGTAACGATTTTTCCCACCATAGTCAAGGATGGTCCCCTTACCTCCTTTGCGAATCATCTTTGCTTTAGTTGCTTCGCGCTTACAAGCTTCACCTAGGATTACATTCGCAAGATAGACTTCTTTATTGATATCAACAAATAGTCCAAAAGTTTGATTTTATTGTTCATATTAAATCTAGTACTTGTTTATTGAAAATGCGAACCTATAGATGGCCTTATTTGAGCATCTCTCTCTTTTTTTGTTGCGGACGATGTGTTCTTGTTTTGAGGAGACATGCCATGATTATAGCCATTTTCTTCGCGTGTTAATGGACTTGTTTGTGTATTTCTATGTTGGTGGCCCACATATTCTAAATCGTACGTATAGACTGCATGTGATCTCGTCCATTCATTCAAAATCTTGATCAAGTGCCTCTTTGTATTCAACTATTACGATTGTTCAAGATAATTTGAACAACCTTCATTGTTTCTGGCGTGATTTAGCCGTTTATGCTTTCCTTTAAAAACTTAAATGTCATTCTTTTAGAGATTGTCGTCTACCTCTCATTATGTGAACCTTACCACTACTTCTTCCTTATTTTTTACTCTCAACTCTATATCCTTACTACTCAAGAAGTCTATGACAATTTCACGTGTTAAAATGTCTCTCCCGTATTTAATAGCAATTTTTACATATTTATAAGCATCAGAAATAGCAATCAACAAAATAATAGCTTTATTTTGTTTAAGCACATTTTCACCACTATTTATAATATCTTGAATCGATTTATTAAAGATATCCAGATTGTCAACCAAATCTTTAGATGAGTCAGTTTTGAAAATGCAAAAACTCTCAAGTAGAAAGAGTAAGTTTGGAGTAGATTTTAACAAATAAAGATCTTCAATATCTTTCAAAACTTTTGTGTAGAATCGTGTTTAAAACTTTTCTCAAAACAATATCAAAAAGATATAATAAAATAATAGAAGTATAAGCCAATTCATCATATTCTTTTTTTTCTCATTTTCAGCTAAAGTTATAAAATATTGCAATCAATATCTTTGGAAGCTTTTTGTTGAACTAAAATGCATTTCATCTTTTGTTGTCAAATCAAAAAATAACCTTTGCCATTAAAAATCTCCAACTCAAAATGTGTTGTCATTTTATCAAAAAATATGCAAAACACAAAATGGAACCAAACAAATGACATCAAGCAAATATAAGCACACATCACAAAGAATAGCCAATCAAACTTTCATAAGGTCAAAGAAATTCGTAGCAAGTAAAAATATGGCAACGATATCAACAATAAATCTAAAGCACAATATATCAAGCTCATGCAGAATTTAATTTATCAAATTCACGTTGAATTCAAAGCACGAATTAGCAAATAATGTCCTAGGTTTAGCAACTGGCAATGGTTATCCCACACGATAATCCCAAAACTAATGACCACCCACATGATGACTTTTAATGCGAAAAGTAAATGTCTACCCCATACGATAGCCTTAACTACAATAATAGAAAGAAAGAATATAATGTCAAGTGAACCAATCTATCCATCCGTAAAAAAAGGAGAAATGCAAAATTTTACAACTTTCAGGGGCAAAACTGTCCAGATTTAGTTTAATGCACGGAATACAAAAGTAGCACCATCAGTAGGTTCGAAATATGACCAGGAACAATTTGTCCTTTAGGATCATCACCGAAAGTATACTCGTGCCCTCACGTGCCGTCAACATCTCTGTGCGTTGGCTTTACGGTTTGCTATACCGATGGTCCATGTGTCGCGTGTGCCAGATGGTCTACGTGTCGTAGGAGTTGGCCAGACATCTTCGTCTTGTCGTCTGGAGCAATATTATGATCTTCATTCACTCAGTCGATGCTTAGTTTGGTCTGAAAATGGACTAGTAGCCTCGAGTTGGAGCTTTTCAATAGTTTGTTTTCACCTATCCGAAAAAAATTTTGGATATACTTCTAGATGGTTTTTCCACGCCAAGAACACTAACTACTTTCTCTGATACCAATTGTTGAGTAATTTACACCACCAAGTGTTCCAAATGTACAAAATACAACACCATAGTGCCTATAAAGATTTATAGCTCTGGTTAAACCCACACCACAAAAGGTTACTCCAAACCTTAAGCTCAACCTTATAGTCCGCTAAGGTTGCCCAAAAAAATAGTTATAGCCTACAAAGTGCAGAGGATCTCACAAAGAGAATGAGGTGACAGCTTACAAATAGGAGAAGAAAGAAGAAGACGGCTGCTTCTTGCTCTCTTGCCACACCTTACATCACAAAATGAAAAGTCAACACATATAAAGAAAACGATTAGAGCACACAACAAATGGGTTGAAGCCTTTAATGGGCCATCACATATAGTGGACCACGAGCAATCATTGCCACGAAATAATGAAAAATACAGAAGTGTGACTACATATTTGTTCATTATTTTAAAGTACACTAACATAATTTTTTAACAAAAACTATGATCAGGGAGAATTTGTACTAATCAATGAATGATCAAGAATAAGAATGCAAAAAAAAAAAAAGAGTTGTTAACCAAAAACTATTATGACCATGAATGTACATTAACAGAGTCAAAAAGAGGGATTACTCCAAGTAATCAGTAAATTTATCAACCTATATGAAAATGTATAACTAGTGTCTCAACATTCTGCATTTGACTAATCCCAAGCTAATATCCAAAGGAGTTTGATTCAAAGCATTCCTCTCAATAAGTGAGGTCTAAGTTTATTAACATCAGATTTTTGAACTGGTTTCAGGAAGAATTCTTCTGCTCCGTTCTCTAAGCAACTGTTAATCCTCGATGGAACATTTTCTGATGACATTATCACAACTGGGACGTTCTTTAATGACTTAGATTCCTTGATCTTTTTCAGGAGATCATAACCAGTAATTCCGGGCATACTGTAATCTGTAATAATTAAATTGACTTTGTCATGATGATTTCGTGTCATAGAAGTAGAGGTAGAATCAATGCTTCCATTGTCATCATCATCCAGCAGCCCCAGAAACTCAAGAGCCTTTACTCCAGAATCCACAATAGTAACTGCAGTTAATAATCAAATCGTCACAAAAAAATCCATTTTATTATAATCATAAAGTTAAAAGTACAAATCAAAATTTGAAAGGAAATGTTCAATAGAATAAATCGGTATATTTGGATTTACCTTGATAAGAAAATGTCTTGAGGAGTCTTTCAATCAACTTTCTGTCAATGATGCTATCATCAACTGCTAATACATGGAACTTTGTTTCTAAAGATACTCCACCCATAGCCATTCTTTTGATCTAAATTAAACTGAGTGCAGAAGGAAGAACTAATTGAGAATACTGATGGGTGGTTTGTTTATATATATGAGGGTTTGACGAGATGGAAAGATATCGACAGTTGAGAAAGAGAGATCCCACCAGATATCAATCAGAATCTCCCATATCTCTAATGTTGAATTTTAAATATGAACATTATATATACTAAAATACTTACTATGGCTCTTTGGGGAGGCAAAGGCCTTATTGTTGTCCCTTCACCTTTTGTTTAAGTTATGCCTACCTGTTAATGCATCCTTTCCCTCAACATGTGCAAAATAATTTTTTATGCTATATTCCCACTCATTTTTCAAAATTTATTTATAGTTCAATAAGTTCGAATGTATTGAATTAGTCATATAACTTCATAAATTTCGCTTATATTTAGTTCGTAAGATACAATAAGCTTGGTATGTAGGTTGATATTCTTGCCTTTGTTAATTTTACTTTTTGTAGTTATGAAATTTTCCCCCTTTCTTATGATGAACTTCAAACCAAATCTTAAATATTTTCTTAGCTAAAAATTAAGAAAATCATATTTTGTGATGAGATATCAGAATGATTTTAAATTACATCAAATCATTCGCATCATATATACATCGAAAGATTCATATATAATAGTAAGAAAAACATTATCCCACAATTTCACAAATCAAGCCATTATATGTTTAATAATATTGACTATTGTGGTTTACTCAGAATTCTGGAAATTCTCAACCACATTCCAAATATATTTTTGCATTTTACCATATTCAAATACACTAGTCAAATCTTAAGTAATCGTGAAAATATTCATATAAAGAATTGTTAGGTACATTATATTACACAAAACAAGGAACAAGTTATTCGATCTTGGAATTTCATCTTATAAGGTCAATGTTTTTTATAAGAACCGTTCAAACCCTTATATGTTGATTAATACCCTTACATTTAAATAATGTGAGATTTACCTCGCCTTGATAAGATGGTGACTCGTATTAACCCTTATTTGTTGGTTCATTCTTTTACTTTGTAAACAATGTGAATTTACTTCTTCTTCATAAAATGATGACTCGTATTAACCCTTATTTGTTGGTTCATTCTTTTACTTTGTAAACAATGTGAATTTACTTCTTCTTCATAAAATGATGACTCATTTGAGAATACTAATTTTGAAATTCAAATGCTTGTTAGCTTTAGACGAATTAAATTGTTCATTTAAGCTTGTTGTCTCTGATGCCATATAGGGTCTCGGGCATCATTTTACACTGTCAAATCGTGTTAAGATGAGTAGCATAAATCTTTATATGTTGATTAAGACTTTTATATTTAATAGATGTAATTCATCACTTAACTTAAATATGCTGCATCCATACTTTAATCCTTTTGAATCTTGTCTAGTTAAATATAGCTAATATTTGATAAAATACTACGAAGTATGCAACAGATTCATGCACATCTGTTCTTAAAAATAATGTATCGCCAACAAACAATTTTCAAAGTAACAGCAAGAGAAATGAACAAATACATAAGCCCATCGATGTGCCAAACACAATCCTATCATGATTGCTTTTCACCTTAACACTGTTTGAGATTCTTGATTTATTTTATTAATCATGCTATTAGGTAACAACTAATTAAGGTTAGCTCCAATATTGAGGTTCTAAAGGAAAAGAAAAAAAAAATGAGTTGGTTGCATCCCAGTTACAAAATAGTACGACCCCTTAACGATACTCAAAATACAACTTTTGACACTGCATGAAGGAAAATATGTTCGAATAAATGGTTATTTTTTATTGGTGTAAATTGAAATAAGTCTCCAATAGGTGCACCTCTTCAATTACAAATAGAGCATACAAAGAGTTGTTTGTTTTGAATGTGTGATTATATAAAACGGTGCACGATGAAAAATCATATCATTTTGATATAGTGCAATCTAAAACATTTAGTGAGAAAATGTGTGATTTATGTCTAAAGTTGTAACTATTCGAAAAGCCACTTGAAAATCTATAAATAGGGACCTTCCAGTCGCATATTTCCTATACCAAATCAATTCAAGTTATAATTGATTTCTAATTCTCTTTCTTAAAATCTGTTCTTTTTTTTTTTGTTGAAATAAAATTTTGTTCGAATTACTTTCAGAAATAAAATTTAGTTAGAGTACTTTAATTCCTATCTATTCCATTCAAAAAGAATATTATCGATACTTTGATTCGACTGACAAGGTTGGTATAGTGTAGCCCCTGACTTGGAAGAAGCATTGTATCTTGGGAGACAGGAATCCAATTACCCTATTGGCACTTATACAGGGGGCAAAATCTGTCTTAGCGAGATTTTCTATGACATACCTCGCTTAATCTCCTTTCTATTTTTCTTTCTTTTGATTACTAGTCATTAATTAGACAACAATCTTAAGACAAATATCTCGTTCTTTTACATGTCTTTTTACGTGGTTTCAATATTGTAATATTGATTGAATTTTTTTTGTGATTATTATTTTATGGAAAAATGACCAATTCAACTGAGCAAACTAGTGATGCAATTAGAGAAACTTCTACATCTAATCCGTTTGTCATGCCGCCATCTTCTCAACATGAAAAGTCGAAGAAATTCAAAGGTAAGAATTTCAGACGTTGGCAACCATAGATGGTATTTTACCAAACTATGCTCAATTTGGTGAAATTCTCACGTGAAGAGTACCCCGCAAAGACAATAGCAAATGCTACCCTATTGTTTGAAGCATGGAAGCATGCTGATTTCCTATGTCAGAATTATATTTTCAACATTTTGGATAACACATTATACAATGTGTATTATTCATACAAGACAATTAAGGAACTGTGGAAATCTCTTGACACAGGATGTCGGAACAAAGAAATTCATCGTCGGTAAATTCTGAAATTCAAAATGGTTAATTCAAAAATGGTTACGAGTCAAGTTCAAGAGATGCAAATAATTATTTACGGTACTGAGGTGGAAGGCATGGAATTAAGTGATTCTTTCCAAATTGCTGCTATAATTGAAAACCACCTCCATTATGAAAAGATTTTAAAAACTATCTTAAGAACATGAGTAAAAAGATGACAATGGTTGATCTAATTGTTGGAATTCGCATTGAAGAAGATAACAGGACTGTAGAAAAGAAATGTTTTATGCGAAACATGGAAGCAAAGGGAAACATGATTGAAGGCTCCAAGTCTAAAAGTGAAAAAGAGAAAGCATCCTAACTCATCTAAGGAGAATGAAAAGGGGAATCATGCAAAAAGATTCAAATGAGACTACTATGATTGCAGGAAGCCATGACGTCAAGCTTAAGACTACCGCAGCAAGAAAAAACATGCACAAGAGAAGAAACCTTCCTAGGCAAACATAAGAGCATATCAGTAGACATTGTCTATATCAACTTATATATAGTCGTATCTGAAGTTAACTTGGTATCAAATTGCCAGGGATTGTTAGGTGGATATATGAGCCACTCGTCACATTTTTGCAGACAAGGATTTATTAACCGAGTACAAGAAGATAAATCAAGATGAAAATCTCTACATGGACAACTCAACTTCATCCAAGATAAAAGGAATTGGAAAGGTCATTCGGATATTCACTTCTGAAAAAAGTTGACGCTGAACAATGTTGTGCATGTCCTACGAATTAGGAAGAATCTTATTTCAGGTTCTATACTCAATAAGAAGGGATTCAAAAATGGTGTTTGAATCTAATAAATTTGTATTTACTAAAGAGGGCATGCATGATGGGAAGGTTATTTAATTGATGGTTTGTTTAAGTCCAATGTTGTTGTAGTAGACAATAAGTCCACATATTTGTACCAAGTTATGAATAATACCGATTCTTCTATTTATTTGCTCGAGTCTTCCTTTTTATGGAATAGCATATTTGGATATTTTGATTGTGATTCATTAAGAAAATCGATAGTTTAGGACTTGTACCTAAATTTGAATCAGAAAATGAACATAAATGTGAAATTTGTATTGAAGAAAGATTTGCTAAAAAAACCTTTCAATTTAGTTGAAAGGCATAGTGAATCATTAGAATTGATACATAGTGATATAAGTGATTTGAAATTTGTTCATACTTGAGATGGTAAAAAGCACTTTATTAAGGACGTGGATTTGTTGCATTTGTCACTTACAAAAATGAAGTTGAAAATCAACTTGGCAAGATGATCAAGTTACTAAGATCCCATGGAGGCAATGAATATGACTTTTTGTTTGATGAATTATGTGCTAAGACTGGTATTATTCACTAAATGATTGCTCACTTCTCAACAAAATGAAGTTAGTGAGATGAAAAATAGAAATTTAAAAGATATGGTTTAACGCTATGCATATTAGTTGTAGCTTACCGCATAACTTGTAGAGGTGAAGCAGTTTTAATTTCTAACTTTATTGTAAATAGAGTTCCTCTTAAAAAAATTGGTTTAGCACCTTATTAATTTTGAAAAGGCAGAATATCTTCCTACAAGAACTCAAAAGTGTAGAGGTGTTTAACAAATTTAGTTATTCCACCCCCTAAAGGATCAAGCTAGGACCTAAAACTATTGATCTCATTTTTATCGAATATGCAATAAATAGTAGTGGATATAGATTCCTTGTACATAAATCTAAAATAAGTGACAATCATATCAATACGATTATAAAATTTAGAGATGGCAAATTCTTTGAAAGTCTGTTTCCTAATAGAAGGTATATTCCTGAGAATATTAAAAAAAGAAAGTAATGATGTTTTTGAAAGAAATAAAGATTCTGAACCATGGAGTAAAAAAAAAAAAAAAAGAGATTCCTAAATCCTTTGGTCCAGACTTTATATCATTTATGATTAAAAACAAGCCTTTAACATTTAAGGACACTATGACTAGCTCAAAATCTTCATGATAGAAAGAAGCTATAAATAGTGAGATCAAATTCATTATGAGTAATAATACTTAACAATTAGTTGATCTTCCCAAGGGATCTAAACAAATTGGATGGAAATTG